AAGCAGTTCTGTGGCTTGAAATTGGGCAGTGTTTTCAGCCCGTGATAGTGCACTGAAGTGGTTTGGAGAAGTGTGTAAAGCCTTTTTGTATAAAGTAATGTGTTTCTTTTTTAATTAACAATTTTTATTCCACATACAAAACACTGTGCATACTTAGGGTGTACAGTGTGACAGGTTGACATATGTATATATTCATGAAATAACCACAGTTAAGATAAATACAGATCCATAAAAATTTCTCCCTGTCCTCTGTAGCCCCTCCCATGTACTCTCAGCTCTCCTGTCCCCACTGATCTGATAACAGATCAGTTGCATTTTTATATAAATGAAATCAAACCCTACAATGGATTGGATTTTTATGTTCATGTTCATATGGTAAAACCCTAACCTCCCACTGGATGGTATTAGTAGATAGGGCTTATGGTAGGTAATTGGCTCTTAAAGGGAGAGTCCTCTGGGATGGGATTAATACCCTTAAAACCAGGTCCCCAGGGAGTTCTCTTCGGCTATTTGCACCAATGAGGCCACAGCTTGTATGTTCAGTGGATTCACTCCGTGGTTGGCCAGCTCCAAGGAAGGCAGAGACTGCATGGCTGAACAGCACGGAGGAGAAAAGCTCTTGAACTCATAGCAGCCAGGAAGCAGAGCAGGAAGGGAGAAGCTGGGGCTCAGAATTCACCCTTCTGGGTCAACTCTCCGGTCACTCTCTCCTCCTGCCCTATCACTGAACATGGGACTTCTGGGAGACATTTTTAGATCTAACCATCACACGGCTTGAAGATGGCTGTCTGTAAGTCACGAATCAGCTCTGATAGACACTGTCTCTTGCAGCATCTTGACATCGGACTTTCTGCCTTCCAGAATTGTAAGGAATAAATGTGTGTGGTTTAAGCTGCCTGTTCTATGGCACACACTTACAGCAGCCCAAGCTGGCTAGGACAGACCGACTGTGCTCTTCACTGATCTGCTTCTTTTATGCAGTGCAGTATTTGGAGACTCTGTGGTGAGATGGGGTGTGCCTCTAGCTGACCTCTATTGATTGTGCACTGACACTCGTACACACGGATATGCTACAGTTGTTCGGGCACTAATCTGTCTGTCAAATTTGGAGTAGTTTCTAGGTTTTGGCTATCATAAGCAGAGCTTCCACAGACATTCATGTGTACTATGTTTGTTTCTCTTGAGTAAATATCTAGACATAGAATAGCTGGATCATAGAGTAAATGTGTGACATTTTCCTAACCTGGCACAATGTTCCACGCTGGTTGTACATGGCCACCTGCAGTGCCAGCCCGTCTTTCACATTAGTCAGTCTCACAGGTGTTTTTATTTCCTAGCATCTCGTTATGATTTTAATTTATGATGATTATGAATATTGAACACTTGATATTGGTATGTAGGTATCTTCCTTGGTGAAGTTTCTACTTCTTTGCTTTTTAAAATTGGGTCGTCTTCTCATGAGAAGAATTTTAAGAGTTTGGTATCTAAACATCCTTTATCAAATGTATTCTGACAAGGAATTTGTTCTTCCAATCTATAATTTGTGGTTTTTTCTCTTAGCAGTGTCTTTCAAACAGCAAAATTTGTAGTATTAATGAGGTCACTCACACTCGCATCTCTTCAGTGCAGAAGCCCTGTCCCATTTGCTACTCTCTACTGCCTTCCGTTCCAGTAAAGGCCACTGAAATCATTCCCACTGCCTCGCTGGCTCTGAAGGCAGACACATTTGAAACAGCTGGTGTAAGAATTCAGTACTCTGAATTTGAGGTGTTAAAACCCAACTTCGGTCTTAAAATTATAAAAATCTGAACGCAGAATTTTAAGCTGAAAATTATTACCATATCTTGGACTTTTAGTCCTTTTTTTTTTTTTTTTGGGTATGCGCTAACATGAATTCATGCTTAGAGCCATAACTCAAAAGTAGCATTTGGAAGTAGGGAGCCTTCTCTGTCCCTAGTTGAGAGCTGTAACATTTCCACTTACAGGGGTGAGTTTGTTTGATTATGGCACTAAGTATTGAATGATGAGGTCCAAATATCTATGCTAAAAAGGAAATATTAATTTACATTTTCTAAATGCATTTATTGAAAAAGGAAATAAAAACCAAGAAGATATTTTTTAAATGCATTTCCAGATAATTAAATAATCTTTGTTTTCTTATATACAGAGAGCTGCTGGAGCTATTTTGAGCATCACATTGAGAAATGGACAAATTATAGTTCTAAAGATGCAATTGTGATGAAGGCAAAAAACTGTCTTACAACTCATCGGACAAAATAAAAAAAAATTTGAATTACAGAATTGAACTCACACCCGTGGTTTCCAGTCCTCGCCATCCAAGAATAATGTTTAAATAAAATAGTACAGAACCGAGAACACGGCTCCTCCGAGGCCCACCTCGGTGACTCAGTTTATTGGCAGGTTCTTGTATCCCTTACCCTTTACTTCTTAGTTGCAATTTGGATGAGAAAATGGAGAAAAGAGGCCTAATAGAGAGCAAATGTCACACCCTCAACATGGCTTTAATATTTACTATATTAGAAACAATATAAATTTGGGATAAAGAAACAGTATTTTTTTTTCCCTTTATGTGGAACAGCAGAATTCCATCCAGTGTTTTGAAAACCAGAGCCTCCTAAATAAGATTTTAAAGTTATTTCTTAGTACTCATTTAAAGAGTTTGGATAGGGTCATATTTTGAACATATGTATAAAACAGCATTCCATAATTGATTTATTAACATATGAGGTCATGTTTATGATTTCTTTCTGAAATATTTAAAAGCAAACTATAACTGCATAATCCTATAAAATCTATTCATCACAAACCTGCTTCAAAAGTTGAATAAAAAGCGCAAAAAGAGCCAGCATATTGTATTTAGTTACGGTTGAAGTTTGTACTCCAAAGGATAAATGAATACGATTTGTATTTGCTATGGATTGGGCTGTGTTTTATTCACATTGTATTACATCTCAGGAGAGAGTTTGCTAAATAAGTCCAAATGGCAAAGATTCAGAAATCCAGAAAAATGCAAACATCACATTTTCTTCACGGTGGACAAGACAGGAATGATTAAGAAATCCTTTAGAAAATATTACATTTTCAAATGTTTTCAAAAGGCCATGGCATTCCTAAAAGCTAAATCTCTTCCCATCCTATTCATCTTTAACTATCCTGTCATTGTGTGTGATCTTTAGGAATATAATGCACATACTTTGCTCTGCTAAGTCTTTTTAATTTAGGTTTCATGGATCCTTTATACTCACATACATTACTTGTCATTGTCCCCTGCTGATCTCAATGGTTACCAGAGAAAACTAAGTCCCTATGTTGGCGCAAAGATAGGGTAGATAGTTCCTTTGTAGTGCACTAGCTGGGTTATCAGCAAAACTCTTCTTCTAAAATTACTTCTAAAAATATGTATGTTAGTATCTCACTTCTTTGTTATCAGAGGTCCCTCGAAAAAACGACATATCCGTTCACTCCAAGTTATAAATGATTGTTACTAAATCTCTTTTCAAGAGTAATTTTCTCTAGAGGGCTTGTAAATCTACCATTTTCTAAAAGGAGAAAAAGAGTGTTTCTGTGGAAAGTGTTAAGGATCAAGAAAGGAGAGGCTTAGGTAGCAAAAACAAATAGCTTATGTCAGTTCTGCTGAGAAGGCTTAGGAAAGAAAGAGAGGTGAAGAGAATGGCAATTGTCCGAGTGATGTCACCTGCCGAGATACCACCATCACACCTGTGGTCCTGTTTAATCCAGTTGTATTCATGAGAAGCTATCTTTTTTCTTTTTCTTTCTTTCTTTTTGGTTTTGCTTTTATATATTTAGAAACTAAAATATAATTTTTCTTAAGTGAATGGTCATGATGTTTATATAAATCTACACTTAGAGGTTTTACTTAAATCATTAAGGAAAGAATCCTCAAGATATAATAACTATAGAGACCAGCCTTTGATTAGATACATCTAAAGGCAGACAAGAATGCAGAACTGTGAATGTTTAATAGATGTTAAAACTGGTCAGCATCTATATAGTAATATACAATTTTACCAAGAGAGTTCATTTTTCTATATGGACAACAATCATTGGGTACCACTATCAGTTTTCTGTAATTTACAAAGTTGTAAAAAAAAAAAAAAACCCTCAGAAGTAATGAAAGATGGAAGAATCAAGATCCCCCAAGAACAGTGGTAGTGAAACTATGCCACAGTGGGCTGTTTGTATTTTGAAAGTTCTAAACGTTTCGTCATCACTGCCCTAGAGGGTCTAGTTAGACCAGGTCTTTTCAATCTCATTTTCAACCAGATGAGGTTTTGAAGTGGACACTGCACATTGCCTTGCACCTTGCATAGTGCTTCACACTGCCACATGTGAGTGGTGACCTTCAAGTATGACAACCAAATACCTCTCCAAACAGTACCAAAAGAGCAAAGTCTCCAGAGATACTGATTTAAGCAGTGCACAGAATTCTAGCAAGAGAACGTTAGTAAAGTCTTTCCATTTCCAAGTCTTCTACAGATTTTCCAGGCATAAGGACACAAGAGTCTAGCATCTCAGCCAATACTACATAGCCATTAGGAGGTGGAATGGATTTCAAAACAACGTCTTTCTTCTTTTTTTGTACCTGGATAGAACTCATGACCTCTTGTCTGCCAGGCAGGCTCTTGTGCTGCTGAGCTATAACCCCAGCCCCATCAAAAACATTTCTAACTCCAGAGCATCTTTCTTTTCCTTCTACTGCTCTGAAAATAGGAATTAATGATAGATCTTTACACGAAGCACTCCCTTAATTAATTATAAGCCAAATAATTGTAAGGCACTTAGTTTAAGAATAACTTCTGCTTGGTGTCTCAATTAAGAACAATGCAAAGTTGTAGAAAAATAATATCTTCGTGAAGTCCATTACGGAAACAGAAAAATGAGAATTTCATTATGCAAGAAACAGCAAAACCTGCCCAAACCCTTTGTAGGATAGTCTTTCTGAAAGACACCCATCTTACCTCTGTAGCTGATATCCTAGTAGTTTTTCTGTCTCTGAAATTCCAGCTCATCTCTCACATCTCCGAGTTCTTGTTCCACAGGCTCTATGCCCTTGCATCCATCTGTTTAGCTTCTCTGAATTTATTTTGCAACTCACCTCTCCACCATTTACTCCATTCACAACAAAGGTCTCTAAGATGAAGGAAAAAGGGTAAAGTTATGCATTTTACATTTGTTATTCCTGACACAAATACATAAATAAAAGGGTCTTCTTTCTAAATAAGAAAGCAGATGTAACACAATTGAGAGTCTACCAGTGAGTCTATAATCTCCGAAGCTCCAGGAGTACTGAGCACACTCAGCACCCAGATCTTGGTTTCTAAATACCAAGACTCTGCTAAACAAGCCAGGGTGTCAGAGACATCTTCTGGTGGAAGAAAGGAGCAGAGTGAGCCTGGAGGTGCTCAGAGATCAGCAGAAACAGATCAAAAACATGCAGGAGCCAGCTAAGCTTTTTCTACTGCCAAATTTGGGACAGATTGAGCAGGAGAAAGAATAATGACTGTTATGAGTCACCACATAAAGAATTCATGAGTTCATAGTGTTACAAAAATTAGAAGGACAAAGAAAACTTCTGCGGTGCTAGTGAGAGGGCCAGAAGGGAGAGATTTTCTTTATCAAAGAATGTCCACTAATAAGTATGAAAAGAATAATAGAGTGAGAAGGGGTATTTATAGTCTCTCTGCATTATTTTAACTTAGAAAATTCTCTTCGTCATCAAAAAATAATTTATAAATATATAAATCTATGTATTTGTCCATTTATCTCCATTTATTTTGATTTCATATAAAAATTTCATCTTTAGGTTCCCCTGCCCAAGTAAGTTTAAAAATTATCATTATACAATTTAGTTTTATGTATCTTATTTAACCATATGTTTAGGTTTCTTTTTCTATACCTGATAAATTTAATTTCAGTATACTTTAATTGTTGCTAATTTTGAAAGTATTGTTATACTGAAATCAGCATTATAATCCACAACTTTGTATATGTCTATTACTCCATAAATGTTGAGAAGTGATATGTCTAATTCAAAAGACAGAAACACTATAGATTTTCCAGAAAAATTATATTCTAATACCTCACGTAGTATCGTGACTTAGTAATCATTATGCTAAATTCTATTTCAGGGGCACCTATACTGTGCCCCACTGTTCATACACTTCTCCTAATATAGTTTTTCCAACAACTCTGCAATATTGTAGATATTTCCCCATACAAGCAAGTGACCTGAGGCTCCATAAGGGCCGAACATCCAGAGTCACACAGCAAGGAACAAGGCGTACAGGAACATGAAGTCATTTCTCAGAGTCTCTTGAGCCTATGCTCTTTCCACTTGGCCAGGCTGCTTCCTACAAGGGGCTGGGAACAGGGTCTCATTTCCTGTGACTTTGTGTCTCTCCATGTTTCATTTTCACAGACTATAAACTGTTCTGTTCTCAGGGGAGGGAATAACCTGCTCTCTCATCCTGTTCTCAGTACCTAGTTTGGATCCCATTTCCTATAAAGTTGGCTCAAGTTTAACTCTGCCTCCCTACCCCTACATTTCATAAAGGGGTTTGTGACCAGGATACACATGCATGCATGCTCACTGTTATGGTTTGTGTCTAGATGTCCCCTCCAGCCTAATGCACTTTTAAATGGGGCCTTTTTATAGGCAGCTGAGTCAGAGTTTGTGACCAAGGTGCAATGCTGGGATTAAGGGTGCTGACATTAAGGGTGGGTGATTGCTGGATCAATTCACTGATTGGATTAGCACTGTCCTAACCCACAGTGTGGATAAGATAAAAGGGGTGGGAAGAGGTTTATCTCTCACTTCTCTTGCTTGCTTTTGCTGTCTTCCTCAGCTATAAACTGTTTCTCCTCTGTGATTCCCCTCTGCCAAACCACCCTGCTTTGGACCCAGCCAATTATGGACTGAAACCTCTATAAACTGTAAGCTGAATTAATCTTTCCTCCTTTAACTTTGGGTTTTAGATATTTTGTCTCAGTAATGAGAGAAAAGTAACTAAGACACTCATCTCCATGTACACACACACACACATACACAGCTTTGACATTTCAAATCCAATCCATAATTGGGTAATAATTTTCTTCAATCCACTTTCATCATCACCGTTTCTCTATAGTAAAGATCCGGGTTTCTCAAATACCAATATAGTCATACTCTTAGTACAGCACTCTAAAGTCACTACATGAATACGCCTACCAAACAACAAACCTGCTGTCAAGTTGGATTTCCAGCAGTTCTTTTCTGTTCTTAGCCTTTATCTCACTCAGCGTATTCAGTCAGAGGAATATACTCAAAACTTGGCCTTATTTTTTTCTATCTCTGGTTACATTATCAATTTCATACCATTATATTGATTTGTTTCCACGTGTTCTCTATCCTATCGTAGTTAACTTCACATCTGAATACACGAGACATACACAGTATTTAAAAGTACAAACTATATATGCATAGAAATCTTATTTTCTATCATTTCTACGTTACCACTTAGCTCTTATATATACCCAGTTTAATTTCTTTGTTGCTTATACTTTCTTCCTTTTTTGCTGTGGTGGGGGAAACCTTATATCTTCTTCTGTCTTCCAAGCAAGTAGCACATAATATTTGTATGTGTGATTTTTTTTTTTTACTTTGCATACCTTTTTTTTTTAACAGAAAGAAATACAGGAATTTATTTTTAAAAAATGGAATAAAATTATGTAGCATAATTTTATGTAACATAATTGTAACATAAACATGATTTTACTATGTGCATTTTTTCCTATTTGCATTTCAAATTTTTACATTATTTTATAACAAAACAAAATAAAAGAATAAAAATGATACAGAATTTCTTAAAAAAGAAAATTGACACTAATATATTGCATACTGTTATCTTTAAAGTGATTGTTCAGATTATAAGATTTAGGTATAAAAATGATCAAACAATCAGACAATGAAAACATAAACTGTTCTTTTTGATGAACAAACAGATTAGCAGTATAGCTAGCTATCTTGTATATATATGCACACACACACATATATGTGTGTGTGTGTATATATATATATATATATATATATATATATATATATAATCTTTTCTCTTCTTTATTTTCTACTTTCCTCTATCCCAGGTGTTCTTTCATTTTGAGCATTTTCTTTTTCATTTTCACAATATCTATTGTACAGTTTGAATCTTATTTACTTTTTTACACTAATTAGACAACATATTTACACGAGTCTGATTAATTTACTTATTAGTATGATCTCAAGTTGCATCCATTTACCTATAAAAGCCTCAAGTTTATCCTCCTTTATAGCTGAGTAGGACTCTATCATATAAAGATACCACATCTTTTTTCACCTGTTCTGCAGTTGATAGGCATTAGGGATGTTTCCAAGATTTAGCTATTACAAATTGTGTTGCTATAAACATAGGTGCACAAAAATCACTCTGGCATACAAAGCTACACTTTTCTTTGGACATGTTCTATAAAATAAAGCAAAATGATGATATTTTAATATGAAGTTAACCACATTTGAAAGGGGGAAACAAGAAAACACTCATTGGCTTCCATTTTTCTGCCCCTGCAGGATGTGCTGGGTGGCATCCTGATCACTGTGATCCTCATTGTCCTCATCCACCCTGCCTGGACCCTCATTGACTTCCTGGACTTTCCCAGCCCCCTCTGTCTTGCATGCATCATTTCTGTGCTTTTTATCTTGTGCCACAGTTACTCGATGGCAAATACTATAGCCCAACCAAGGCAGACACCACCACCATTCTGACTGTGTACACTTTTTAAAGTTAACAAAATATCTTAAAAATTATCAGATCATATAAATCTTTTTTTTCTAACTTGTTTTGACTGCACACTGCTTCCATATGTGGTTGTTATCATTCATTTTAACATTTACATATTAGCATTTAGATTATTTTCAGTAATTTGGTCTTATAAGTTGTAAGTTCAAGGAATCAGTTTCTGAAAAATTTTTTATTCAGAAATTGTATCATCAGAGTAGATCGTGAAATTGAATTTCTGAGCCAACAGGCAACTGAGTAAGAAGACAGGAATTTCCCACTAGCACCATACAAGAATGTTCTGTGCTCCCTTCAGCAGCACATACACTAAAATTGAAGTGATAGAAGATCAGCGTGGCCCCTGCACAAGGATGGCGTGCAAGTTCACACAGCATTCCATATGTAAACAAACAAACAAGTAAAGATGTCCGTTTCCTCAAAGCATCACTGAGAGTACATTGCAAAATGTTTGAAATTTGTGTACGGACTTATTAGAAATCATATCTCTACAGTTTTACATTTATCATATGTATCATAGGTGAGGGTAAATATATTTTAACCTACAAGGGTCACCTATATGTACCTATATATGTTACATGTGTGTATAAACATCTGTTTTTGGGTGTGCAGATTCTCTGGTTATTCTTTTGCCCATTTTTCTGTCAGTTTTTTCTTTTATTCCTTATAATTATTAATTATTTTTAATAAATAAGGGGCATCAACACTTAACAGAATATATATATATATATATATATATATATATATATATATATGGGATTTTTGTTTGTTTGTTGTACTGGGGATGGAACTCATGACCTTGTGCTTGCCAGGCGGTGCTTGTGCCACTGAGCTAAACCCTCAGCCTTAATGGTATATTATATTACCACTTTTTAAATCCTAGTTTAATAATTTTATTTTTACTTTTCTTATGACCTCTTTTTACAGTTGTCACAATTAGGGGCTGGGGATTTAGCTCAGCAGCATAAGTGCCTGCTTTGCAAGCACAGAGTTGTGAGTTCAATCCCTGGTACTGATTAAAAAAAAAAAGACAATTGTCACAATTGTTTGATTTGTATCACTTTTGTTACATCTAGTTTGAGTTGTAGTTATATCCAAGTTATGGAGTGAAAGTCACTCATTTTTTTTTCCCAATTCATGTTTAGTTTAGCGTTTTACGTCTCTTGTCCATTTGTAGCACTTCTTTTTTTTCAGTCAGAGATAGTCTTGCTATGTAGTTCAGGCTGCACTTCAGCTTACTGTGTAGCCCAGACTGGCCTCAAACTCACTTTGATATCCCTGCTCCAGCCTCCCCAATATTGGTAATCCACCATGCCCCAGCTTCAGAATTTATTTTTGTGTAGGATGTAAAGAAAAAGACTCTAAATTAATATTTAGGGTGTTAGTTGCTTGGTTTGTGACAGCTTTGAGGAACTGGCTAGAAAATACAACCTATCAAATGCAAGTTCATGAACCCAAGGAATGCTGAAGGCCATACTGGTGTGAGTGCCAAGTCCCCAGAAAGCAGCTATCTTTGGGGACCCCTGCTCGGTGACTGAGAGCCTCAGGCACACATGGTAGAAAGGTGTGTGTCCAGGCTGGCTAAACTGTCAAAAGCCAGCTAAGAGCTTCGGGAGATCCTTCTGGAAATGTTGGCAGGAAGAACCAACAAGTGGTAGACATCTCTCCACTACCGAGGGGGAAAGGGAGGCGCCAGAAAGTCAGGGGAGGACACAGGTTGATCTGAGCAGGGAAGGCTTCAGAGGAGGGGCCTAAGCCCCTCAGCCCTAAACCGATCTGTGAAGGTGAAAAGGCCCAAGTGTTGGTGACCAATGTTAGGAAGCACACAGGACTGTCATGCAGAGATTGTGAGGCAACTCATGAAGTGCATGGCGCCAGCAGCCCAAGGGAGCCCTTGTGAAGACAGCTCGTGCTGCTCTGAGTTCTGTGCTCTGGATCTAACGAGCTGGATTTATCCTGGTACTCAGAGTGCTCTGTGCTCTCCAGACCCGGGGGTGGAACAGGGGTCGGGGTGGGAAGGGAGTGTTATGGATAAGCCCCAAGAGCATTCAAAAATGCATCTTACAGAATGAAGCACAACTTACAAGGATTTAGAGAGATTTCTGACACGGGCCATGAAATCTGGCTTCAGGAAATATCCATGAGTTAAGAGTATTGCTTTAAGTAAAAAAGAACTAATTCGACTGAGGAATTATGGCTCAATATGAGACAAAAGGGAAGTTGGTGTTTAGGTAAGGCAATGGCTGCCCCTTCACACATGCTCTTGTGCCCTGTTTTTGGCTGCTTCTCCAACATCCAGATGTAGAACGAGGAATCAGAGGAGAGACACTGGCTTACGGCCCAGCCTGGATTGAGAAGGAGCCATGATTCTATATTTGCAGCCTAAAAGAGGCCAAAAGTGCAACACCTTTCACCCAGAATGATGCCATTTGCCAATCAAAGTGAGACGCTTCTGGTAACAGGCAAGTTGAAAATCCCATTCTAGGGGCTGGGGATTTAGCTCAGCGGCATAAGCACCTGCCTTGCAAGCAGGTGGTCGTGAGTTCGATCCCCGTTACCGGTAAAAAAAAGAAAGAAAGAAAGAAAGAAAGAAAATCCCATTCTAAACACAGGAGGTGGGACAGGGACTCCTCCTTGGACTCAGTAGGACTCTGGAAAATGGTACCCAAGTGGGTTTTAGAGGAGAGAGTGAGAAAGCAGGTGACTTCCTCTCCCAAGGAAAGAGCAAACTACATTCCAGTACAGTGTGGGTTTTTGTGACTCTGAGAAATGACTTCCAATTCCAGCACACCTTTCCCTTGCTTTGTGACAGAGCAGCTGGCTCTCTGTGAGCTTCCTTGATGGGGTGGGAAGAGGCAACCAATCTCACAGGGTTGCTGGAAAGGCTATGTGTGGGAGCTGCCTAAACTTGAGGACACAGGGCAGGTGCCCAGAAAATGAAAGGGAGTGGGACTGGCCCTATTAGGAAACCACAAAGCCATGGATGCTCAGGGCGGGAGGGAGGATGAGGGTGGTTTTGTCTGGAAAGATACATCCCCAAAAGTCAAAAACTGATTCTGCACCTTGAATCTACATCTAGCCATTCTACATCTCAGTCTCAGCATTTATCTGGGGGAAACTCAGTTATGAATAAACATGTACACTTTAGCATAGTAAATAATGCTTTTAAAATTGGCACCAATGAAGGCATGGTTGAACTTCTTTAACCTTGACAATGAGACTCCTCCGAGGAGACAGAAAAATAAGTTGAGGTTATTTTCAAACTTCTTTAGTGGAGCAACCCAACATTTCTTACATGGAATCAAAATGCAGATTCACACAGGAAGTTGGACACAGAGCTTGTATTTTAAATATTTATCTCTTTCCTTTGGTGAATAATAAAAATCAATTAAAAGTAAGGAGACAAATTGCAAATGAGTTTGTACCAAAGTGCTGACAGCTACCTGAGACCTGAAGAGTCTCTTACCCCACCGATACCCACTAAAAATATAGAAATCTCCATTCTCTGCTGGAATAAGATTTCATCTCAGTCTTCCTAATAAATGCAATGAAAATCAATCATGCTATCTAATCTCAAATTGGCAACCGTAAAACATAGTTCTCTTTCCAATCCTCATGGAGTTTTTAAACTAAGCTTTCATGAAACCACTTGGTTTTGAATGGACTGCTGTGTATTTCCTGTCACGGGTGTGGCCAGAACTCCAGGTGCTTGAGGCAGATCCCTGAGGGAAGTCTCAGAATGTCCTTTCTGTTCTGTCTTGGTAACATAAAATAAATAAAAATAAAAAATTTTTATGATCTCATTTTTAAAACACTTGTATTGTTCACCTTTTCTGTTGCTGGGCTGAAATACCTGACATATAGAATTTAAAGGAGGAAAAGTATATTTTGGCTCACAGTTTCAGAGATTTGGTCCATGGTAAACTGACTCTAAGACAGAAACATCATGGTGGAAGGGAATTGCAGAAAAAGGCTGCTTACTTCACAGAGGCCAGGAAACAGGGAAAAAAGGAGAGAGAACCAGAGTAGACGCACACCTTCCAAAATCACACCTCCAAGGACTGTCTTCCTCTAACTGAGCCCTGAACTGAGCATATTCCTCTATGAACGTGTCAGTATATTGAAGCTCTCATGATTCAGTCACCTCTATAGACTCTTACTTCTAACCACTGCTGCATTGGGCATCAAGCCCTCATATCCAAATTTTTGGGGCACACTTCATACTTAAACCATAGCAATGATATTGTACTTAAGGACCTGAGGCAACAGCTTCACCTGTGAACATAATTAGGAAAGAATTATGGGCCACTGTGTTGCTAATCTTTGCCCCAGTAAGAAGAGTCAATCCTGTGGAATGACATTGAATCCTACAGGTACATGTCTAAATCTTGTATAAGATTGCTCTTTGATTGTGTTGCATATACCACTTTTACCACACAGTGACAGTTGTGTGTCCTTCTGGATTTTTCTTTTCACCTTGGCTACCAGGAAGCTCAGAACTAGATTTAATGCCCAACTAAAATATCCATAGATCTCATTAGTAATTATTTTATGTAATAGACAAACACCCCCATCCCACTTGCTAACAAGATGACCATGTATGTTTTGTCTTTTACTGTGGGTAGTTTTATATTCTTTATTTTTACTTTTGAAATAGGTGGTGTTATCTTCTAAAATATCAATCAATAGCAATTGTAAAAACATATTTTAAAAGTTTTAGAATAACTAGTGCACTGGCCAAGGGAAGAATTTTTGTTTTCTGGTACTGAAGATCAAACTCATGACCTTGCACTTGCCAGGCAGCCCACTGATCTAAATCCCTGGACCTAAAATAATATTTTGTTAATTTTTAAACCTATATATCTGTTTGATGGTGGGGAGTAGAGGAAAAAGCAGCTGGTTTTAAAATAACAGCAGCTACAACACCAAAAGCAAAACTATTGGATTTTTCTTTGCAAACCCGAGAGAATGGGACAAACTCCGTGAAACCAGAGCTATGTGCCTTAGCCCAGAACTAAGTCATAGATTATTTTCTCCTTTCAGTAAAGTACTATTCAAGCTCAGTATATATAGTCTTTCCTTTGCTAAAACATTATTGAAAATGAATCTAAAGTCTTGTGGGAGTTTAAGCATTGCATATTGTCTAGTTCACAGAGTCATTTATAAAAGTTGGGATATTTTATACCCCATCAGGGCTTAATTAGAGTTTATAAAGATCACTGGCAGTTGAAATAGAAATATTGTGTTCTTCCTTCCCCCCAATGACTTCCCCTTGGTCTTTCATGAAGGCCTTTAAAACTCATTTAAATCGCGCTGAAGTTAATCATAAAGATAAATACTGACCATCCTGCCAGGGGACTCTAACCCTCCACACTTTTCCACTTCCCC